TTCAGTCACGGTTGATCGTAGAATATTCTTTGCTGGAAATGTGTCACAGCGTATGCAATATTATATGCGAAATTAAAACACTGCGACATATCTGTTGTTAATTATAACAGTAATACATACAAATGTATTACGCAATCTGAACATATTTTGCAAGATCTTTCTTACGTAACATCTGTCCATTGAAAGATTAGGAAACCGACTTTTAATTAGAGTTTGACTTCGCAGTACTGTCAGACACTCCCTTAAAACAAGCAAGACGATCTGTTCTGTAATAATGAGATTAAACAGGTTTCAGTATACGCTTCAGATGCTCAGTCATCACGTGATGAAGTGTTTGGAAGGGGAGGCACATAATTGAAGCTCTGTTGCCAAATAATTAAGTAAAAGAAGGGTACATGTAGAAGTGAAGGGAGATTAAACGCGACGGAGGGAAAAAAATCGCTTTAAGAAAAGGAAGGGTGATACAATTTAATTTTTGTTTCCACATTCCAATTTAACACCTAAAAGAATCTTAAGTTAGTCAGTTTGGAAAAATTAATTGCCAGGAATTCAAGATAAAAACATAAAAAATCATATATTTAAATTGAGTTGCTCAAAACAAAAAGGGCAGACGGTACAAAAAAAGAGGAAAAAAACTTGTGATATTATTCCATTATGTGAATGTGTGTTAACAGTCTGGAAAACTTTAACAGGTATTAAATAAAATACATACATATATATTTTTAAAAGGCAGCTGTGAACTTTTTTGCAGTGGATCGCCTGCGCGCAAGCATGCATTTTCCACAAATATTGCAACAGTCTATATTTTGTTTTAATCGCCCAGACGGTTATAATGGTTAGGGAAGCTTGACAGCGATAACGAAGGGCCCTGGTTCGAATCTCGGAGAAGGCATGGATGTAAAATTGTCTATCCCTTCATAGGAGGTAACGGGCGCTGCCTGTTATGTGCAAAATGGCCACCACTTCTGACCTTAGGAGTGGCCACTACCGTTCTAGGCAAGTGCCCGCCGTTAGAGAAAAAAATATTTTGTTTTCAGATACGAAAATTTGCGTTGGAAAACAGGGACGGCGGCTCCAGCATGTAAATCGAAAACAAGCGTCTTTGAATAATTTTTATATTTTCTCCTTTCTTTGGGCACTGTAAGACAGTGGTCTCAAATTAGCAGCCCCCTCCGATGCAGTTTTACACGGCTCACGAATACATTTCTCATAAATTAATTGGTATTATTTTAACAAAAATTTGAAGGAAATGTGTTAAATTTTAATGATTTCCCGTTTTAGGTTATTTTCATTGCCAAAAACGGAGGTGAGTAACACGACTGAAAATCTAAAATGGAGATAATTAATTTACACCGTGATATAAATCTCGCTTGGAGATCTAAAGATACAAATGTGATTAAGTTTTATTCGTATCTGTCAAAGAAAAATATCCGCAGCTGCGAATTCTTACAATAAGAATAATCGCTTTGTTTAGCAGTGCATTTACGTGTGAACAATTTGTTATTTTTATTGAAAATTAGTCTGTAGAATTATTAGTGCTTTAAAAAAAAAAAAAAAAAAAGAAGGAGACAGGAAAAATGTGCAGTGCCCTCGCCGGACTCAAACCTGGAAATTTCGAATACACGCCGACGTTTGTAAAACGTTTTGTAAAACTTTAACGACTTTTTGATTAACAAACTCAACGATTTCAAACCGAGAAATGGCAACACTGTACAGAAAAAAAAGGCCTTTTATCTTCAGCACGCTAGACTGTCTGCCGTAAATTCTAAAGATATGCTGTTTTTAAATATTTTGTGATAATTGCTGTTGAATTGATTTTTATGTGGTTTAAGTGCGAAAAACGTGATATTTAATAAATAAAGATAACACACAAAACGTTAAAAAAAGCCACTTTGAGCGTAATATAAAAACTGAAAAAAAAAACCTTCTTTTTTATTTATTTATTTATTTCTGTCCCTTAGCTGCTTTTAGATTCTTCATTTGTCCCGTTGGCACTCGTGCAGTTTGCGGTTGAGACTACTGCTGAAAGAGATTAAATAGAGAAAATCAATAAAGTTATAATTAAAACAAATCCATAACTTAAATTTACGTAAATTTTTTTTTAAACATCCAATTCAGTACATGTAAGAATTGGAGGCTCCCTTCAGCCCACCTGGATACGAGTGTTCCCATAGCTCAAAAGAAGGGGCCCAGTATATCCTCAAACGAGGGCAGCCAGTAACCCAGACACCCCCAAACAACAAACAAAAATACTAAATCAAAAATAAGTAAGCACATCTAACACAAAATTACAGACCAAGAAACAACCAAAAAAAATCCATAAACACAAATTCACAACATTGAATACCACAGATTTCTAAAACCCGTATAAATACAGAATTCAATTTTAACAGAAGATTCCTACCAGCGCCCTATTTTCATTGATAAACTTCATCAGAGCAATAGAATATGATTTAAAAACTTTAAAATTAATGACACTTACATTAAAATCAGTAATGTTAAAAATCTGTCTAATAGGGGCTGTTAAACTACAATCAACCACAAAATGCCTAGCATCACCATCAACCTGACAAGTATTGTATAGTTCATTTTCCTGCAGATTAAATCGGTTGAAATAGAACGGAAACCTACTATCTCCAGTTAAAACCCAAAAACCTGATCAACATCAATATTGTTCATACATTTCATTTTATTTCGTGATTTTAATAAGTTTCACAATTCCTTTGTTTTTAGGTGAAGCGAACTCACTGTGGTTTCCATTTGTTAATGTAAAATTTTTTCTTTCATTCTTCGAATAGCAATTATCTTCGAAACCTGTTACTACTTCAATATCCATTGCACTAACATTTGAAGACCGCCTGTTTGGCCAGACTGTCGGCCCTCTCATTGCCAATAAAGCCTATATGGGCTTTAATTCCCAATGCAGCTTAATATTTAAATATGAACTCAAAGTTTCTAAATGACTCTTAATTTCGACAATTAATGGATTGAAATTGTCTGGGCGGGAGAGAGCGCATGGAGAAGTGACAGGCAGTCAGTGTAAATATTTAGAGAAGTGGGTATAAACAAGTATTTTAATCCATAATAAGGCTTGTTTGAACGCTTCACTTTCTGCTTGGAAAATTGAATTATATATGTTCAAAACTTAAATATTCTATAATCCACCTCAGTTCCATAGTAAAAAACAAACAAGCTCCAGGAGCTCCTCCTGACGCTCCCTCCGCCGGCCTCAGAACTATCTGTATAAATATCAAACACATCAACAGTTGGATTACTTTTAAAAAAACAAAACCAAATCTATTGGAAGGATGTATTAAATGAATATTAAATTTTTCAAAAAGATTCTTTGTAACTAAATAATCTTCATACATTTTCAATTCCGTTCGTCCAGTTCTAAATAAAAATTTCTTATAATAAAATTTGTATACAATTGAGAGAGGAGGCAGCCCAACCCAACACAAAGACCGCCTCGGTAAGCACCGTTCTAAAATTTCGGGTTAAAGCTAAACCCCGAGCTCTCTGAATACTGTCTAACGTCATCCGTAATCTAACCAGTTCCCCTGCCCAATTCAGTACATATATAATTTTCATTTGTTAGTCGAGCAAGTTTAAGAAACTCCTCCTTTCCCCCCTTTTTTTGTGTGTAATACAATCGGACGTTTAAATTAATTTTTAATTAGCTTATGTTTTGATTCCTAAAATTATAATTCACCAATTGCAGCATCAACAGGTAAAATAAGAAATATTTTTAATAGAACTAATAAGCTGGAAAATTTTTAATTATTAAGTACATAGTAAATGGATGAGACCTTACAGCTAAGGTAAAACAAATATTCAAAAATCGAGCTCTCATTATGATTTAGCGTGATATATTGTTAAGCATCAATAATAAGAAATGCTAATGTTTATGAAAATTAATATTTTATATAAAACAAAAAAATTATATATACAATTTTTTAGAATTTTTGTTATACTAGTAGGATGCTAGTAGCTGCTACAATATTCTTAATCCTTTCCTCAGCTGTATTATAAAGTTTCAGTTTGCTTCCAAAATGTAGCCAAATGGTTGCCAAGTTTGGGGACTTGCTCGCCAATTTAGTGAGACAGTCAGCGTTAAATTGACTTGCCCTGTAATCTTATTTTTCCAGCAGAGCTTCCTCTTTTTCAAGCATTTTTTATTACATTATACAAAAAATGTTACAGTTTCACATATTTTCACTAAAATTATTTACATATACACAGAATTCGTAAAGTATGATTTATAATTTTTATGAACATCTACCGCCTTATTGAAATTAATTTTAAATTCGATCATTATATTATGTAACTAGCGTAGAAGTTTCCATTTTAATTTTTATAATAATTTACATTTTTTTAACTTTGATTTTTCAGGTTTTTTTTTTTTTTTTTTTTTTTTTTTTTTTTTTGTTTTTTTTTTTTTTTTTTTTTTTTTTTTTTTTTTTTTTTTTTTTTTTTTTTTTTTTTTTTTTTTTTTTTTTTTTTTTTTTTTTTTAATGGTAATTTTTTTCACAGGTTTTAGACTGTAATCTGGAGATTTCAAACTGCAGTTTTCTTACATCTCCTCCCATTTATGATTTTGCTTTATTTTCAAGACATGTGGTCAGTTTTAATTTGCTGGTGAATCTGACCAAGAGATCCTGAAAATTGTCGAAGTTAAATCTTTCAATGTTGTCATCGTTTGTGTGACGTCACATCTCAAATTATTCTACATTAAAAGTACTGGATTTACGAAATACTTGAAAAAACCTCTTTGACGTCGAATGCGTCACGATGCGCACTCTTCTGGTTGTCTATTTACGACGCCCTAAGAATTAAACAAATCCCTAAAAATACGTTTTCGGCCCACTTTTACTGACGAGTAACAAACGCCAGCCAACTTTCCGATTCCCAAAGGCTGTAGGTGGAAGTGAAAGAAAGAATTACGGCAGAAGAAAAGAAAGAAAGCAGAATTTTGACTCGGCAGGGCGGGAAAAAAAATCAACCGAAAGAAGTAAATCTGGAACGTTTATATGATGGCGGGAAAATAGCAGGAAATACGGGCTGCTTGCAGCTTTCAGACATATGCAGATGCAAAAACATTGAGTATTTTCCAGAGTGGGTTTAAGTTCGGATGCATTGGTGGTTCTGTTATATTTTGAGAAGGAAGGCCACTGGGCGCATCTGACGAACTCCTTCTTCCTTATATTCATAACGGATTGAACAGCATGAAGAGAACGAGTTAATTGCTGCATAAAACAGGGAAGGATATTTCTGATTAATTATTGGCATCTTTACTTTAATTCGTTTGCCAAGGAGTATTGAACGTTGTGATGCTGAGTATTAGCTAAGAGAAACATTGATTACTTTGTATTAATGTTTGTTACCTCGGTTACGTTCCAAACATTGTGCTTATTTAGAACGAAGTGTTTTTTTTTATCTATGCGTATTAGCTGAGAGAAACAGTGATTATTTTCTTTTAAATTTCGTTACCACTATTATAATCCAAACAGCTAGCTAATTTAGTAATCTACATGCTCAGTTAGATGTATTTATATCCATATATATATAACCAGAAGATTAGCAATAATTTTCTTCGATTCTAAGCAATGATAGAAAAAGTTCCCATTAGCACTAACAGTGAATGGCCGATGAATTTGTTTAATTCCTTCAACTTGGAAACTTTCTGACGATATATGCAATTATCATTTATACAGTGTTTGTTATTCTACAGTTGTTATTATTTCCTTGAACTTGAACATTTATTTCAAATACTACTTACAGCTAAATTTTTCCTCCATAAAACCATTATTACTTCAACTAAATAGTATTACTTTCTCAAATTTGTTTGCTGTTTCATTGTTCTCATATAGCATTGTATTATATCTAATAGCTTTTCAAGTAAGGAGTTAAACATTGTGAATTTTGTGTTTTAATATATGACAAATGAATTTCATCTCAAGCTAATAGTTAGGTACATTCAGCGCCTAAAAGAAAAGCGAATTAAGAGCTACTTTATTCTAGTACATTGATACTGCTCAGTTGTGCTTCACGTTGCTGTGATAGACAGTCTTCTTTCTTTGCTATATGAATAATTCACAAAATTTTTATTTTAGTGACGGAAGGCAAAATGTTATTATATTAATATTCCTTCGTTTCGAAGAAAATTTCTAGCAGCTTAAATATTCAGTATTTATCATCTTCTTTTATTCTGAACTATTGGAACTTGAAATTTATTGCTTAATTTGTAGTGATTTTAAGAATATGAGTTGGTACCGTAGATCAAGTGCTCCTGGTTTGAAAGGTGGTAGACGAAGAAGTAGTGTCAGTTATTCTGTTGCTACTGGCAGAAGATGCAGTTTGTCTACATTTGCTGCTTCATCACGAACTCGATCTGGATCTAAAGGTATAGTTTTTTACTTCCTTAATCTGAAATTTTTCGCGCTGTACAATCGCCATGTAAAATACATTTGAAATTACTTAAAATGCTTTTATATACAATATGACCCAATTCACTCTCCAGTGCCTTTAGGATTATTCTACTAATAAAGCTAATGAGGATTATCCTAAGTTCCACTCTTGTTTTAATCAAAAAAAAATCATAAATTTTATATTACGCCCAAAGGGGCTTTTTTTAAATGTTTTGTGGGTTACCTTTATTTATTAAATATCATGTTCTTCGCACTTAAATCACATAAAATTCAGTTCAACAGCACTATCACAAAATATTTAAGAACAGCATAATTTTAGAATTTCCGATAGACAGTCTCGCGCGCTGGAGATAAAAATGTTTTTTTTTCTGTACAGTATATTGTCATTGCTTGCTTTGAAATCGTTGAGTTTGTTAATCAAAAATTCGTTAAAGTTTTACAAAATTAGAAGTAGATAATGAAAAAATACGAGATTTCAGGTTCCCATGTTCGGATGGAGGATTACGTTATTAGAAATTTGATGGCTCTAGGTACCGTTCGTTCATAGTGCGAGAAAAATGCATACATTCATGCAGATTCTTCATTATGTAATTTCTTTAAATATAATACAGGGCGATAATATTTGGTGGCAACAATTTGAAAGGTGATACAGCTGCTTATGATGAAACGCGGCAAAATGCCGTTTTAAGACTAATAGCCCTTCTAGACTAATGCTCCTTTGAGCTAACCAGATCTACTATTAGCTCAAAAAGATATTTGAATGCATGAATTCTAAGTGCTTCTCTTCTGCAAAAATGCCGTAACGCCGTAGCCGAAGACTTTTAGGCATGGTAGTCAAATTTTGCAGACCAACGTACCAGTTAGAGTTGCTGAATCGAGGGAAATAGCATTAAATATTCAAATAACCTAGAAAAATAAATATGCAGCTATTTCTAACTTAGATCAAACATTTCTAAGAGCAATTAAAGAAAAAAAAACCAAGTAACGAGGATAATAACTTTTCTTACTTGGGAAAATTTACAGCTTTTCTATTATTCTTGCTTTCTGCTGCTTTGATAAAAGGATTTCCTAATAAAACAGTATTAATTTTCTTCTTAATTCTTAAGCTTGGTTAATCTTTTGGTCCTTAAATTAAATGTATAAATCCAGTATTAGGACTGAATGCTTGTGAAAGCACCTTGCTTGCGTTGGCTTATAGAGCTTTGCATCACACAATTCTGAATTTTTAAAATAGAGAAGAAGAAAGATGGTAATAAACTAGAAAAGGAATAATTTAAAAATGAATAAACGTTTGGGAAGCTTACAATTGAAAACTAATGATCAAACTACTTTGGAGTTTTCAATGCTGTCTAATTAAATAGCTCATCAGATTTTAAAATGCATGAAAATGATCGATGCTTTACTGAGAACGAAGTACTAATCTAGAGTTTACTTTTGCCTAAATTTAAAAATTTCTGATTATTGTTATTAGCAGGACATGTGCGTTTTCTCATTTTCAGCATATAATTCTTTAAAGTTTCAATTATTATCCATTTGCATGTGTATACTTTAAACAGGGTTTACTTGTATTTGGTAATCATACCTTTTTTTAAGATTTTTATTAACAAAAATAATTTAATTTTAAACAGAATGTAGCAAACTTTAATAACTGCTAAAATTTAACTTTAATTCCAAGTTAATATGAAAACAAATAATATAAAAAAAATTATTAAAGTCAATTTTTACTTAGGTCAACAAAGAAGCATTTTAGTTTAGTTACTTTTATTAACATTAATAACATTTTTTCCTTTCTAACTTATGAAGCTGATGGTGGTCTATAATTTCTCATTCTATCCATCTCTTGTTGTGCTTCATTACTCCAAGGAACCTTTCCAGTGAGTTTCGAGCAGTCCGGTTCTTCAATTAATATTCCATCTAATGATTTCACACGACTCAAGGCGACATGTGCTTGACCTGCTGCGAAGAAGTTTCGTCCTAGATATATTACTGCATACTCTACAGTGCTATTTATTGATTTTAATAAGCAAGGTACATTTTAAAGGGTTATATTTTTGACATATATTATTATCACTTTAACATAGAAATATGAGGAGAATTTTCGCTACATAATGGGACATTACATCTGCTTCATCCAACTCTATAAAACTACAGTTATTTAATTCCAAACACTTTAAAAATCTTTATAACTCTGCCTTACTGTTGCCACTTATTTTTGTTAAATATTACCATTCCATTTATCAGAGTCATGTACTATTATTTATAAGTTGTTTTAAAATTAATTTTTACAGCAGGTAAGAATTCCTAATAAATGGTCATTATTTGTAAGTATTCTAATATATGCAACAGCATATCTTTAGTTCCGATAAACAAGAGTAAATAAGTAGGAATTGACTGTGAACAAACTGTATTAACATCAAGTGTCATCCACTACCAGTTTAAAAAATGTATTTGAATTTGAATGGATGAATAAAAAGTATTTTATTAAGGACTGAAAATTTTAACAAGATATAGGGAGAGTGTGAGCTAATAGTAGGAATTTAATAATAAAAAACACGTTCGGTGCTTTCCAAGGGATGACAGTAAGAAGCCCCTTCCTTATAAGGCAAAAATTATTGTATACATGTGCGCCAATTTAGACTTCTTAAAACAATGCTATGGATAATTAACATAGTCTATTAAGGGGGAAAACTGAAGAATTATGTTAATTATTGCAGAATGAGAATAGAATTTAAAATCATTAAATAAAATTGGAAAATTTTGATGTTTGCGGAAAGCTTCCAGGAGATCTACTTCTTCAGCTGAAGATAGTTTTGAATTTAATTTTAATTTAAAACTATCTTTTTAAATTGTTTAGGAGAAAAATTTAGGAGACAATAAGTTAAAAGAAGGGTTGAGATGTCATAAATTTAGAAATGATGTACTTATAATTTTCTTTTTTATGAATATACACTTTGTCTGCTCAGATGTGAAATCTCAAGCTTCTTAGTTCAACCGCTATATTACATGACTACAATGAAATAAATCAAATTGGAGAGGCTATCGTAAATTCCTTCATTTGTAACTTTAGTGATTGATAAAACCGATTTGATAAAATTCTTAATTCTTAAGCGGTATTATAAATTGTTTTGAAGTTGATAAAGTTCCAATTTTAATAAATGCTGTTCATATTTTATCGTATTTATTTAAAATGATGATTGATTAATGATTCCATTTCCTTTATAAAGAGTATTTTTTTTCTGTTTTACATGATCTTAACTTTTATAAAATTTGCTGATGCTAAAATATTTCAAGAAATTCCTTTTCAGACTAATTTAGTGATGAGGAACGGTTTATGTCTGCAAGCCAATTAATAATTATTTTATTCCGGAGGTCACTTGAAGCTCTGTAAATAAAGGTTCAAAATTATCGTGTAATTTTATGCTTGTCAGCATTAGTTGTATTTAACATTTAAAATGAACCAAAATGCTATCTTCTATGGAACTAATCTTAAAGGCCTACTACAGCTACAATTCAGGCGCATGGAAATTAATCTCGTAGTGTCTGAAATATGACAATAGGAGTCGCTTTCATAGTGGTGTCCTGTCACAAAGAATCTGGCACCATTATACAAGATGGGAAGGCCTTTTGTTGTTTCGCAGCGTGTTTCCAACACAAATTAGCATATAACCTCTGTTCTTTATCAGCAGATTAAATTACATATTTATGACATTCAAAAATGCACGCATATTTTTAAAAAGACATTTTAATTATTTAGTTGTATACATGACTTAAGATCTGGGGTAAATTTACGTTCAAAAGTCACTTTTTAATTTCGTTGTATTGAAGTTATACACAGATGTTGTTATATCACTACACAAATGTTGATATAGTACTTCAAAATAAGAAATTAAGATATCCTGATATTGAAGTTAATAAGAGTTTTGCCATTATTCATTTAAGATTCATTCAATTTTCTTAACAAAGACTATATTGAGGATTTAAATCCCTTAAATGAGGATATATATAATAAATCAATAGCGCATATTTGTTTTTATTTTATGCTAATTGTCGTTAAAATTTGTATTTGCTTCGAAACTGCAAAAATTGCAATTAAACTTAACAAACATACTTTTTCTTAGAAACTGAATTTCACACACACATTTTTAGTTCTGAAAAAATTTGGATTTCATAAAAAGGCTAAAATGCGATTATGAATTTGCCCAATGTGACCAGAGTTTTATTATAAAAATCATCTCTAATGACTTAACCTTATGCCGTCTAGACTGTAATGCTGCTAAATCTTGTACCTGATGATCTAGGAATAAACTTATATTACAGTTTTATGTATTTTATATATATGAAGAAAATCTATGCGTGTGTTTGTTCACTAATAACTCAGTCACTACTATAGGTATCATCACCAAACTTTCTACAATTTTTTTCTGGGTCCTGTAAAAGGTCGACGTCCACTTTTTTCAAAAATAAAAATCTGATGTGTACACTACATGACTTCCTTGTACGGAATATTAAATTATACGCATTTTTTCTTGCATTTCATTTAAACTTATTGGATTGAATTAAATCTACTTCGCCGACAGCGCATAAACCACAATAGAATAAATGCATTCTTTAAAATTCACTCTATTTGTTTACCATAGCGACACTCTGGCGCTAGTTCACTTAACAATATTATATTTCGTTCATATTATAATTAGAATGCACAAAGTGTATATCATTTAAAGAATAGAATTATCTAATCGTTGCCACATGTTCTATTCAAATACTATAATAAAGCTAGAATGATGTATAAAAGAAATTAAGCAAATAAAACAAAAAGAAACAGTTTTTCACAGACGATTGAGTATTTCTTATTAAATTAATTCAGTTCTCACTTCGCGAGAAGGCAAAAATACATAAAACTCAAATATCTATATTAAAAATTACGAAGTAAATCTTTAAACACTTATTTCCTCGAAAAAATCCAGAAAGGATTAAG